GACCATCAGTGGAGTTCAGGCTGAAGATGCTGCAGTTTATTACTGTACAGGGGAATTTGATGCGAGCAAGTATGACTGGTTCACACAGTGCAAAACAGTCGTACAAATACCTCCCTCAGTCAGACTGAACCGAAACTGAAGTGACAGCTGCAGACTGAAACAGTTCACTGAGGAAACACACAGAGACGATCAAGTTAGAGAAGCGACATTGGAGTACATGTACATCTTTATTATGACCTCTGACCTCATCCTCAGAATTCATCTCATCAGTTACACAACCACGAATTTTTAATCTTTTACCTGGGAAATACAGAGGCTCTTTTTTCAATGTATGATGTATAAAATTGTGTGTAAACTACAGAATAGTCAAAGTTAGACAACAGTTTACTGAGGACACACATTGATAAAATCGGTCTAACTTTTGAACCTCTCGTTGTATCTACAGAGAAAACATGCTGGGTTCCTCTGTCTGAAAAGAAACACCAGTTCCTTTCTTCTGCACAACACAGATTTCAACATGATGTTTGTTAATGTCAGTGTGTGTGTGGCCCTGGATTAGAGAGCTGACCAGGGTGTACCATGCCTCTCATCCAGTCAGCTGGGATAGGCTCCAGCCCCCATGTGACCCCACTAGGTGGTTTGGACAGTGAATAAATGAATGAAACACCTTATAATGTGGAAACAACGTAGATGTTACCTGTAATATGGATTATTAACTATATTAATTGATCATTTAGCGCCTTAAGAACTACATATTTCTGGTGGGAATTTCCATTCTTTCAAGGCCAATGTGGAAATAAAAATTGGTAATTAATCAAATATTTTAGTTCGTAAAGCATTATCAACCACATGTGTATTGTTTATCATGCCTGTATTTAACAATCTAATGATAATCATTGTTTTCTAAGGATGAAGGCACAATCTCAGTTTTCTTAAACAGCTTTAAAATCACCAAACCTCAAATGTGCAAAAGAGCCAACACAAAAAAAGATAGAGATTCTGATCAGTTTCCTGGTATTCTAAGTAATTTCACAGGTGGTCTGTCAAACTCTGCTCCACTTCGATCATCAGCTGCAGTTCTGTCGCTGTTTATTAGTCTGTTAAAAAAAGGGAATGACAGAAGCTGGTTAATGCTGCCATCTACTGGTCAAAACGTGGCATTGCAAATTAACATTTATGCTTAGAACATAAGGAAGAAAGAGTCACATATATTTGCTGAATTAATCTCCAACTAGTTTGTGTTTTAACCTTTCCCAGATCTATGATAAGCTACAGCTGCCTCTCTGTCTCTCCTTTTTGGAACTTTCTCAACAAATGTCCAAATGGCTAGGGGATCAAAGTGACAAACCCTCTCTTTCCATAGAGGTGTGCACATCTTCTTTTGATCAGGAGCACTTGGTCACCACTTTTTCTCGTAACTTAAGGAAAGGATCTAGTTCACATGCTGGTTGACGCTTTAGGTTGAGCTCAGTCAAAATTGAAAAGCTTTGAGGGCTGCTGTTGATCATATTGTTTGTGTCTTGGTGCAGAGACTGTGGGCAGCTCCACATAAAGAAATTAGAGCTGTCATCTAGCTTTAATTTGAAAAGATATTACCGGAACGGCTTTTTTCTCCCAGTCGTTGGGCTCCAGCTGTGAATTTTGTTAGAGATCTTTTGGTTTCCGGTTACTCTTCACTGACAGTTTTAATTTAAATTTTGTTTTTCGTTTGTTTCTGTATAAAATGTCCACCAACGCGGGCTCCTCGGGCTCTGTCGGGTTTTATTCCAAGCTGATTGACAATGAGGGCACCTGTGACGAGTTAAGCCGCGGGCCAGATGTGCAGCACAGCGGTAAGAACCAACACACAGTTTGAGTTTTTATTCCAGCTGCCGCCCTTTTGTTGACAAGTTCAAACCTGTTTGCTTTCTGCCAGCAAAACGCCGTCCACAGTCCTTTACCAAGGGCATGGATTCCCTTCGGAACTAAACACACTTTCCCATATTTTTTTCGAAATATTTTGTTCAAATCATTGCGCTGCCCCCTTATAAACAGAGCTGATTGATGGTTCTCTTTTTTCCCAGATTATAAGCCAACATAGAGTAGAGAAAACAAAGATCAGGTCCAAATTAAAAGGAGTTTTAACCTTCTTTCATTAAAGAAAGGCAGACAGATTTCTGATGATTAAAAAAGGAAAAGATCAGTTGTTATAGAATGAATGAATACAGTAAACAAGTTATTTTAGTGATTATTGAGGTTGATGTGGTTATTTTCAAATTATATCCATCCATGCTGATGGAAAAAGGAAAAACTCTGATATGTGACAAAATAGATTGTCACCAAAATCCATGTACACATTTTTTAAATTTAATTATTTGTGGACAAATGATTTTTTTTTAACCAAATGCAAT